GGCACGTATTCATATATTCGTGTTCTGCTTTATTAATTTCTTTCAAAATCAATTGTTTTTATAGTATGTGAATACGAATATATGAATATGTGCCCCCCCCCCATTATTGTTCTGGCTACGGCACTGTTGTCATTTGCTTCACATGATATGGGCTTGCCCAGAGCAAGAAATTCTCAGGAACTCAACATTTGTTTAATTCACAAAATGATATTTTTGTTGTCTGTATTTTTACAAAACAGGCCAGGGAACTCAGTATGTAGGCATGCACAGGAAACAACTACATCAAGAGGCAGAAGAATGCAGGCTAGCCCCCACTTCGAGCATGCACTTCGCCCTGTGAAACAGCCTCATTGGTCTCATTGGCCCTTGCATTGGCCTGCTTTGTTTGAACCATAGATATCTTATATAAGATATCTATGGTTTGAAGTTTGAACACTATATTTAATATTGGGTAATGTTAGACATACTTTCTCCATCGAATTCTCCAGTCTTTTGGCGTTTTGGACTGAATTCTGTGTCAATATTTATTATATCATCAGCAACACCAAATTCTTGCCATTGTTTTTCAATGTCTGCTAGCGGTGGTGTGAGTGAACCACTGTCACTCAAATATTCTGCATTGGACATCTCTCTCGCCACTGAAGTCGTTCATTTGAACTCGAAATAATTCCCTTAAACAAATTGGTTGCAAAAAGGCAGAAAAAGCAGCATATTGTGGAGAAATGTGCTTTTTAAAAATTGTAATTTTTTTCGACCGAGGTTTCGAGCAATTTTTTCCCGCCACAAATAAATGTAGTTCCCAGGGCTGCTCGGCGAGGGACGGACGTCATATGTGACGTCATCTAGGGAATGGTGCATCACTGTATTATGTATAGCTCAGTGGGTACATGGAAATGGTAATAAACCAGTGACTTTCGTTTTCGCTGTCGTGAATACCCACCGTGCTACCAAAGAAAACACAAACGCAAAATAAAAGTAACAAAAAACACACGTACGCAATAAGTTTGAAAGACATTTATTTAGAAATTTCAATACAATATTTTCAAAAACACTGGAATACAAAAACACGTTACCTAGTACTTACAAGGCTGTAATTATACTGCATTCAAGCTTCACCATTCTCCAATAGAAGGAACTATACCAAAAATAACGAACGCAAATTAGTATGTCACTTGTTCGTGGGGATAAATACAATTGATTTTGTGGAAAACATATCGACGACGACGCTTTGGACTTATAGATCTACGAACAATTTAGATTTCGTGGACATGTTCCACGCACGAATTTATATGGATTCGTTTCTGAAAGATTGCAGAGCAATTCTCAACCAGAATTTTTGTACATCTTTGAAACTAAACAGGTCGAAAAATTGCCCCGATGTAATCTTCCACCAAAAGAAAGTGAAGTTTCAAAATTACCAATGAAATCGGTAGAAATCGTTTGAAAGATCAATTTTGAACACAAACGGTCACTGATAGAAATATTAATTCATGAAGAAATCTTCCACCAAAACGAAATTATAGTGACCGGAACCGATTACCAATAGAAGAATTCAAGGTAATAATCATTTACGAAAAACACAGATTTGAAATAAGATTGAAACAGAAGACTTGCGAGTACTAGGCAGATTGCTTATCAAAAGATTACTACAGAATTTTCACCAAAGGAAAGCGGTTTCGATTTCAGACGAATTCCTTAAAAGTGACCTTTTGATACCGAATAAATGTGACCTATGAACCAAACAAAATGAGCATCGAAGTCAAAGAAATATGAAACAGTTCTTCAACTCATTAGATTTCTTACAAAAATAAACTTGAAATTGATGAACGCACTATTTCGAGGCATAGCATTTTCCTTACCCAATCAACTCCAAAAGAATTTTTTTGTTTTTCTTGCAGAATGAAAGTATATTTAGTATTAATGATCTGGTTTCTTGCACTTCACTTGGTCTTAATATTTGAATGCTGCGTAGGTTCAATTCCTACCAGAGGACCTTGTGCTGCATTTTTCGCAGCCTACATTCATTCACGTTATCAAAATTTCATCATAACTGTTTTCAAAAAGTAGTAACCATTCATTGGAACATTTTAATTTATTCCATGAAACATGCACGATATGAAGAGACAACGTTCGCTTGCATGACAATAAATGTAAATTGACCATTTCAGACCACGTGCATAATAAATTCTTTGTACGCCGCCAGCTAAACAGGGAGGCTGCTCCATTTACTGTTCGGAGTACTCCGCATTTTTGGAACACTAATGACCGTCAGAACAGTCATGTGACCATTATTGGTTCGATTAATTAGTGTTCCGAAAATCCGGAGTACTCCGAACAGTAAATGGAGCAGCCTCAGAGTCTATCACGACACAAGATCTGAATTGGTCAATTTACATCTGATTGTCATGCAAGCAAAAGTTATCTATTCCAAGTAAAATCTTAGAAGAATTGGACTATCGTATGAACGAAAAAGTAAAACAAAGAGGGCAATGAATCATAATCATCAAAATTCATTAAAACTTGACAAATATAAACATATTAGAATATAGAATGAAAGATAACATATTTTTTCAACAAAAGAAGTTCCGGGGCAAACGTATATTACCAGGATTATTGACTAAACTATCTTTCATCAACACTAACATTAATTGTAGACATTTAGGAAGAATAATATCTATACTTACCATACTTACCCACTGTTGCAGCATTTAGTCAACTTTTTTAGGTATTTTTTATATTTTTTCTGTATCATTTTTTCTCACTTAAAAACCAATTGACATTTGCAACAACTTGTTTTAATAGTTTTCATTCAATATATTTTTATTAGAATGTTGTGACGGTTTTGTATATTGTACCTTGTAAAATAATCTGATGATGGAGTTCAAACCTGATGGATGTTTTATGTTAAAATACCACATAACATGTGGTCTGATTTATTAGCAAACACATTGTTATTAGTTTTACTAGAATGGTTAGGCAAAATAAAGCAAACACAATTAAATGAAAAGCAGACAAAGACCTTAGTTTTTGGCACACAAAACAAGACAATAATTTGATTATTTACACATGATAAATTCAGACTAAAACAGTGCTAAAAATTATAGGAAAAACATCAACGTTTTTGTTCATCTTCAGTACTTGAAAATTACGTCAGTATTCCTCAGGTGCTTTTATATACAGCGGAAAGTAGAAAGTTTTGCTTCCAGAATAAAATGATTTAAAATTAAAAACATCAACAGTACGACTTGGACTTTCCATAAGAAAAAGCAAGCCAAATGGTATGTCAATTATCTTTACTAAAATACTGGCTAAGACAACTGATTGTAGAAATTCAGAAACGTTTAGCCAAACCAAGAAAATTCAGAATTTATGTAAAATGATTTAGAAGTTTAGCTCCATTGCTGGTAATTGGATGAATCTTGGTACCATTGGTTATTCTGGTCATATCCACCACCACCATAACCTTGGTTATTCTGTTCCAGTGGCTGCTGTGCAATTGGTTGAGATCCAGCTTGGTTGAATCGCCTCTTTGGCTCGGGATAGCTGACGGTACCTGCACCACCTCCTTCACCATCGTATTTTCTTTTTCCTTGAACATGTGGACCACCACCACGGGGGCCTCCTCTGGGACCACCTCTAGCTCCACGCCCACCAGGACCTCCGCGACCTGGACCTCCTCTTCCACCTCGGCCAGGTGGCCCACCACGTGGACCTGGACCTCCGCGACCACGAGGACCACCTCTAGGACCTGGTCCACCACGACCTCTCTGAGGACCACCACGACCACCACCACGACTACCACCACCATAACCGCCACCATAATCACCACCACCACTACCACCATAGCCATCATCATATCCACCACCATAACCACCACCGTAACTATCATCATACCCTCCACCATACCCTCCACCATAACCACCACCGTAACTATCATCATAACCACCACCATAACTATCGTTGTATCCGCCACCATAACCATTACCACCTCCATAACTATCACCACCTCCATAACCACCACCATAACCATCACCATATCCACCACCATACCCTTCATTGTATCCACCACCATATCCACCACCATATCCGCCACCTCTAGGGCCACCACGTCCCCGTCCTCTTGGACCACCACGTCCTCCCATATAACCACGTCCACGACCCATCATATCACCGCCTAGCTGTTGCTTCCCAGGGGCATTTAATGCCCCGAAACCAGACTGTCCGTGACGTTTTTCTCTGCTTTGTGGTGGTTTAGCCAATGATACATCAATAACAAGTCCGTCTATGGTTTTGCCATTCATTTCATCAATCGCTTTCAGTGCAGCCTCACGTTCTTTGAAGTTGATAAATGCATAACTTTTTAACTTTTTGACTCTTTCGACTTCACCATATTCACTGAATGTACCCTTCAGAGTCTCTTCAGTGGTGTTTGGCGACACATTTCGAACATGGACAACACGAACCTGAAAAGAAACCAACAATACATACTGTGGACATTCATACAAAGCTGTCGCAAAAATATATTTCACACTGTGCAACAAAATCCTTGGAAGTAGCTCAACATTTTTTGTCATTTACATGATAGAATTTCAAGGCTGTTGGTATATTGATCTTCTTAAAAATATCAATATACCAACAGCAAAACAATTTTTTAAATTCTCAAAACAAAGCTATTCTGTACTTTTTTCATCCAAGCTAGTAAAAGCCTACAATAATTATTTCCCTCATTATTTTAACAAAATTATATTTACCTTAGCCATTGTTTCTGAATCGGGTTCCTCAAGAGGATCAGCCCAATCAACAGATGGAACGATGTTTCCCCAAACTTTCACTCGACCACTCATCAATCTACGTCTTGCAAGGGCAGCAGCTTTGTGGGTTTCATACTCGAGGAATGCAAAACCACGATTCTTGTTCTTATCTTCAGCAGACATGTACACGATCACGTCTTTGAGGTTGTCTGTATGCTGACGGAACTCATCCAAGATGTCTTGTTTGGTCTTCGTCTTTGGGATGGAACCAACAAACAGTCTGTCATTGGCAATGGAGATGCAGACACCAAGACGACGGTTCTTTCGGATCTCGGTGTTGTCCAATCCTTTGCACGCGCTTTGGGCTGAATCGCGATCTGCAAAAGTACAGAAAGCGTAGCCTTTGTTTTGTCCAGTGTGCGGGTCCATCATGAGACGAAAGTCGTAAATTCGACCATACTTTTCAAATGGAGGAACCAGCTCATCTTCATACATGTCACGGGGGACTTTGCCAACAAAAACCTGACAGCAACCCTGCATGGAGAAGACTTCAGGTTAGAAACGAGAGGTCTTTCAATTAGGTCAGAAAAAAATCAACACTCCCTCTCCCTAACAGAGTAAATTCCTGCTGGAACAATAATTCTACTTCACACTGGATAAAAATGGCTAAATGTAAGAGAAATATAAATTCTTTGCTAGCCCCCTCCCCCCCTTCCATAGCTGACATGCAAAGCGGAACTCTTGACAAAGGTATCACTCCACTTATGCATGAAGCTCAGCGACCACGAACATATCTGAACTTATAATCAGGGATAAAATGCTCATATTTTCTAAAATTTTGATTTAATCTTTCCTTATTTAATCTAGATCACAATATTCCTAATAGAAAATACCCTCACTGAACCGCTTAACATCAAGCAAAAAGCACATGGGGTCAGAAACTATGACGATGCATTAATATATAAAATGCATCACGCGGCAAATTTTACTCGGCATTTTCAAACCTTGAAAATATAAAATGAAATCCTTTAAGAAATCTTACCGATGGTCCTGTCGGTGGTGGACAGCCTTCCCAACCAGGAGGTGGACCGCCATACTTCCTCTGTCCCATGGTTATATCCAAACTATATCCAGTTCTATCGAGTAGTTCACGTATCTTTTCTTCATTCGGTGCACCTTGGACATCTTGTTGTGCGGGGATCTGATCGTTTTGTTCGGTATTCTGCTGGGAACCCATCTGTTCTTGTCGTCGTTTCTCGCGATGTGTTTTCATGATGCCACAGAGAAAAGCACTCTTGTTTTGTACGTGAGATAAGTCGCTGCCTGCGAATTGTTCTAGCACGCTAAGAGCTCCGTCTTCGTTGAGTTCTTTCAGAGCGTCGAAAGCTCTCTCGTCCAGCTCTGCCAAATCCAGTTGACCCATAGCACACAGGCTTTCGAGCTTTTGCGCGACCGAATCAGGCAAAATTCTCCCCCGAAATTTATCCATGATTGTTGAATTTGTGGTGATATTTCTGCTGTTTTTCAGTACTTGGTGTCAAGCGATTCAGACAAGCGAAGGAGAACGCGAAAGAAAACGTGTTCGGAATTTATACATGATACGGGGCGGCCATATCCGTTTGAAGGGCCAGTTTTTTGACCAATCACGTATCGCTATTACGCATTTATAAAATTGCTTTGTCACCAGTCTTTTTTAGAATTAAGTAGCCGACGGTAATGGCTCTGGCTAATTCTGTTTTGTGCTGTTTACTGTAAAATACAACCTACGTACAGTTTTCTATATATTATTATATTGAACATTCATTTGCAGGACTAGATAGATAGTCAGCAAAGAGAAATCAAAGAGCAAAAGAAGAAAAAAAAAGAAGTCAGCAAAGAAGTCAGCAAACTCAAATCAGAGAGTACCATTTTACATGCAGAGCACGAGTTATTTTTAATTTAATGTAATTTATTTTTAATTTTATTTTACCAACCCACGAAAATGTGACTAGATACAGGTATACTTGTATACCTAGTTAATATGGTCCACACC